CACACACACACATACACACACACGGTCTCACACACACACACACACACACACACACACACACACACACACACACACACGCACAAAGAAGAGCGGACAAAAAAGAAGAGCGGACAAAAAAGAAGAGCGGACTGAAAGAACTTACTTGGTTACCGGGCAACGTCAACAAATTCGATTGGTCGGGTGGGCGAGAGAGGAGAAGATGGAGAGTCAAGTGGCGGGTATCACATTAGTGACTAGCGCACGGTGGAAAAACGGCGCTCTATTAGCTACACTGACACAGCGATAGCGGCTACCGTCTGACGATATGCATTGCTTCTGATGATGAACGTTCAAGCCAACGAAACGAAACCGACACTGGCTCCCGTCAACCACCCTTCACTCTTGTCGATGAACATTCAAATCAATGAAACGGCACCGACACTGGCTCCCGTCTGACGTTACGAACTGCTTCTGATGATGAACATTCAAATAAACGAAACGGCACCGACACTGGGTCCAGTCTGACGCTACGCACTGCTTCTGATGATGGGCATTCAAGTCAACGAAGCGGCACCGACACTGGGTCCAGTCCCCTGCTCCGTACACCTGGTGCTGAACGAAATGGCACCGACATGAGACAAAAGACGACAGCCGCAGACATCCAGTTTTTGACGGGTTTTTTTCCCCCTACTACCGGTTCACATGACAAGGTTCTCAACGCTAACTTCAGACCATTTGTATCGTCTCGGTAGTGTTTCGGTGTCTGTGTCGTGTCGTGTGTGAATGTAATCCTGTGCGTATACACCGGTGTCGGTGAATAAAGTTTCTTCGTTTTAGTTAAAGTTTTACGGCACTTGCAACACAGTAAAGCAATGTAAGTGCCGAAGATTAGAGGTGTTACAAGAGAGTAACAAACACAGAAAAAAAGGAGGAGAGATAAGACCGATACATGTTTGATAGGAAAGAAGAAGCAAACCACACCAGAGCACCCGCCAACCAGCCACGTAGATAAAGTGTGTGTCCGAAGAAAAAACTCCCCGCTCTGTGTGACGTCACACCAATCATTTGGTTCATCTGACCACACATTGTCAGAGGGGTTTTGTGATCAATTTTCTTAACAGTAGTCATATTTTTATTTGTAGCGTAGCGTTTTTTCCCCCTATCGACACAGTGTAGATCATTTAAAGAGGCAGGCTCCCGACCCTGACAGTCAGTGCCGACCCGGGCTTACTTAGAGGGATACAACAACTACAACCTCCAAGCAGAAATACCGAGATTCCGGTACTCGCTAAAAATTCTCCTCACTCGGGATTCGAACTCAGGTGTCTCCCGTTCACAAAATATGTAAATTTGTGACTTGAACACTCTTTCCGAGAGGGTTTTTTTTCGTTTTGTTTCTGCTTT